TACAACAAAATTAGAAATAAGGGCAAAATAGTTTCTGCTGGGTATTGAGGGGGTGGGGGGGAGAGGGAGGGGGCGGAGTGGGTGGTAAGGGAGGAGGTGGGGGCAGGGGGGAGAAATGACCCAAGCCTTGTATGCACATATGAATAATAAAGGAAAAAAAAAGTTTACTTCTAAGTATTTTTTTAAACTGGGATAAATGGGATTTTCTTAATTTCTTTTTCTGATTATGCATGTTGATTTTGTATCCTGAAACTGTACTGAATTTGTTCAGCAGTTCTAATGGAGTCTTTAGTTTTCTTTATTTAAAATCAGCTCATCATGTTGAGTAATAGGGGAACAGGGTGATAGAGAAAGAGTAGGTAGTAGAGGTGATTAATCTCACTCAAGCACTATAGATACATGTCTGAAGTACTTTAGACTATCAATATACACTTTAAAAAATGGAGAATAGGAGGGTAAAACAGGTTCTTTCTGGGGGTGGGTACCAGTAGAAGGGGGTAGGCATAAGGAAAGGGTGAATGGGGTGAATATGGTGAATGTATTTTGTATTCCTATATGAAAATAGAATGGAACCTGTTGAAATTGTTCTAAGAAGGGGGGAAGGGTTGAAGAATGATGGAATGAATCTAAGTAAGATATATTATAAGCATGTAGGTAAATGTCACATGTATCTCCCCCCATACAACCAATTATGCTAATAATTTTAAAAGATCAGCTCATCAACAGAGATGACTTTGCTTCTTTCTTTCTTATTTGAATGACCTTTATTTTTTTCCTTTCTACTTACTCTGGTTAGGAGTTCCAGAACTATGTTGAATAGAAAAGGTGAGAATAAATGTCCTTGCCTTAGTCTTTTTTGCTAGTACTGGGGTTTGAACTCAGGGCATTGTGCTTGCTAGGCAGGCACTCTACCTCTTGAGCCATGCCTCCATCTCTTTTTGTTCTGGTCATTTTGGACATAGGTTCTTGCTTTTGTGTGAGACTGGCCTGAGCCATGATCCTCCTGTTTTAATCTTTTTACCACAGCTAGGATGACAGGTGCTTGCCACCATACTCTTTTTTTTTTTCCCCCATTGAGATGGGGTCTTCAAACTTTTTTGCCCAGGCTTACCTGGAACTACAGTCCTCCCAATTTCAGCCTCATGTAGGTTGGGGTGACAGGTGTGTGTCACCCTGTCCAGTAGTGTCTAAAATGAGGTCTTACAAATTTTTTGCCCAGGCCAGTCTCAACCTCAGCCTCCCATGTAGCTAAGATTATAGGTGTGTGCCAGCAGCACCTGACTTATTCTTTGTTCTTAAAGGAAAAGCTTTTAATTTTTCCTTGGTTGAGTGTGATGTTAGCTATGGGCTTGTACTTTTATTGTGGCATGAAATATTAAGCATGAAAGTTTAATTTGTTGAGCATTTTTATCATGAAGGGGTATTGCATTTTGTCAGGTGCTTTTTCTGCATCTTGGTGGAGTTCACCTGTGAAGCCATCTGGTTCTGGATTTCTCTTTGATGGGAAAGTTGCAATTGTGGATTCAATCTCCTTACTTATTATTTGTATGTTCAGACTTCTTATTTTTTCATCATTCAGTCTTGGTAGGTTATGTGTTTCTAGGAATTTATTCATTTATTCTAGGTTTTTAATTTGTTGATATATAATTTTTTCATGGTTCTGTTTTATGCTCAAGTAGATTTGGGGGTTATTAGCTTTAATATTGCCCTTTTCATTTCTGATTCTATTTATTTGAGTTTCTCTCTTTTTTTCTTTAGTTTGGCAATGTTTTTAGCTTTTAAAAAACCAACTCTTCATTTCATTTGTCTTTTTATTGTTTTTCTAGGTACTATTTTGTTTGTTTCTGTTCTGATCTCTGTTGCTCCCTTCATTCTGCTAACCTTGGGCTTAGTTTGTTCTTGTTTTTCTAATTCCTTTAGGTGTAATGCTAGGTTGTTTACTTGAGATGCCTTTTGATTGGAGAGTTTAATTCATAAACATTCAGAGTAATTACTGAAAGTAAGGACTTACTCATGCCATTTTCCTGATTGTGTTCTGGTTGTAGTTCCTCTGTTCCTTTCTTCCTTTGTGGTTTGATGGTTTTCTGTAGTGCTCTTTTTGGATTCTTCTTTTGTATATGAGTTATAAGGTTTTGCTTTGCGGTTATTCTAAAGCTCTGATAAAATGTTTGATACTTACAACAGACTATTTTAAACTAACAACAATTAGCTTATGTTTACTTTAGTGTTTCATTTTTTTTCATTTACTTCCATTACTAATTAGCATCTTCTTCCTTCAGCTTGAAAAACTCCTGTTAGCATTTCTTGTAAGGCAGCTCTAGTGCTAATAAACTCACTCAGGTTTTGTTTGTCTGAGGGTCTTTATTATGCCTTCATTTTTGAGAAGCATGATTTCTG